AACTCAGGTTGGGCAAACTCCAGCCCACAGCTCCCTCCCTTTCCCTTCCTGCAGACAGAGCAGGGCTGAGCTGCATCACCCAGCCCCGACTGACACAGGGACTGACAGAAGTTAATGAAGCTGCTCTCTCATTAGATGAGGGTTAATTTGTTGCATAATCGGGCACTTTTAAAGCACTCTCCAGCCCTGCACTTCTGTCAGGGCATGACTGTAGAGAGCTTTCAAAGGGCTGATGGCACAAGAAGTATCCCTTCTGTCAGCGCCCTTACTGCATTGGTTTGCTCTGCCTCCCAAATCACCACTGGTCATTACAGTCCCTATTAAAAGACAGCCCAAGTACAAACACACACAGCACAACACTATTACTCTCATTATTAATCCAACCACAGGACAAGAATCAGGAGGGAGAGGGAGGAGAGGGGTCCTGACAATGCAACTCTCCCTCCCGAGCAACAGGTACATGTCCACGTTCAGGAGCCACATGGCTGAATCAAAGTTTGAAAGAATAAAGAGCTACCAGTTCTCACAGGAGGATTAAGCCATCTTCCAAGGCTAGGACTTAAGGCAGGGCTGTCACACATGGTAGCAAAGGTCATTCCTTCGAGTCACCAGGAGCAGTTAGTGCTCAACAGAAAACAGGCTTCTGGGATGGCAGCTCTCTCTACAGAAAGTTAATCCCCAGTGTGCAGAAGCATCCAAGATGTTAGGAGGTATTTTAATTTTCTCCCATGAGATACCACTCACCAACAATGGTGGTATCCTCTTTCCACCTTACTCTATTAGTCATATTTTTTTATCCTTTCTTCTCAAAAATCAATACAATTCCAGGGTATGAAAGTCAGTCCAACGTGCTCCCAGGTGTAGTAAAATAAAACTGAGGCTGAAATTCCAGCTGCAAATATGGACTTTAACAAGGCCTGATTTCCACATTGAGTCTTGTATCTTCTTGCCATGGGATTGTTAATAATGGGGGGGGATTTTCCCAGATTAAAATTATTTTTCTCCTCTCTTATCGGCATGAAGCCAGAACAACTAGCCCAAGCAAAGGTGTATACATCTCCACTTGGATACCTGCAACACACAGAGGAAATAGGTGTTTCTTAAGCAAACTTCTCTGCTATATTGTGAAGGAAAAAAAATGAACTAAATGGAAGCAAGATTTATAAAGAGGGACATTAACTCAGCTGGGGGAACAATGCTCAAAACAGCCCAGCTCAGTCTCAAAAACTAGACTGGCCAAAACTCTGGAAAAGGGTTTAGATTCCCCATCTCCCACCGTAAGAGCTGTCTTGCCTTGAAAAGGAACTCAGCCTCCGACTGGAAACGAACCATATGGATGAAAAAGATGGTTTAGGATATCCATTATCTCTGTCTCCCTTTTATGATGTCCTGACAGCGCTGTATACATTTTCAGGCAGGATGTTTCACATTGGCTCTATAAACTAGTAGATTATACATTTATGATGGGGTTCGAACGGTTGGATACAGTTAGAGCCGCTTCCAAATGTATATTTAAAATGTGTGCGTGTGTGCACGTGCTTCTCCTCCCCCTTAAGACTTCCTTTTCTTTTCGTCTCAGTTTTGACAATAGTTCAAAACCTGAAACAAAACATGATCTCCTAGTACTGGGTATAATATATCACATGGTCCATATACAGGACTATACACTGAGAAGTTGAAAGCAGCTGTCTTATGCTATGCCCTTAAAACAAAAAAGGCTAACTGAAGCTGCAGTGTGTGCTCAATCAAGGTCCATTACACATTTTTTCAGGAGCGCGTGTGTGCATTTCACCTCCATTATATATTTTCCAGAAATTCCTGGAGTTTCAAGGCGCCGCGTTTGATGGTGTTGAAAGTTTTTCTCATCTGCTCATTATATCCCATCTGTAGCATTGTTAACAGCTGTTGAAAGCACTGATGCAATAGGATTGGGAGTTGAGGGGAGAAGTTTAATGTCCCAAACAGGCTGGATCCCAACAATGGAAGCTTCTCTGTGACACCCATTTTTTAAAAGTAAAATGTTGACCTCATTAAAAAAATATAAATGCACCTATTCTAAGCTGCCCAGGGCACTCCTATTATAGAGAACCAGTCTTTATAAAACAATGACATGTTTTGAGACCGTTACAAAGAGGAAGCTATACAAGTCACTTAATACACTACAATCTAGTTTCTGAACTCTGCATTTCATGTAATTGTATGTCCATGTGCCCGAAAGGTTTTAAGTATTGACCAATCCTAGAGCATATGGCTTGTGCTAGTTCTGCAGCATCTCTAATTGCAAATCCAAAGGCATTCAAGCCTCTGCCTCTCTTCAATCAGTCCCTTCTTCAGTGATGTGGTGATCCAAAAAGCCCCTGACCAGTCACATGGCTTTACACGGTCTACAGCTGTCCTCAGCTGCTCAGAGATCCTAAAAATGAATGCATCTGCTTTGTTACCATCTCCATCACCAGGCAAATCTTTACCTGCACCATGAAAGTGGGAATTTATCTATCAAGCACAAAGAAGGGGTTATACTGTAGCATGCCAATTAAAATCTAACACTAGCAACTCCATTGAAACACATTATCCCTGGATTTGGGGTATAATCTATGTAAACCATCATCTAACAGCCTGCTTAAATTAACTGGGTCTGACCACGCTTGCAATCAGCTGCAAGGACCGGTCTAATTTATGCTCATTATCAATGCCTGTCCAGACAAGCACTTGCCTTCATCGTGCCAAGTGGCACCAGGGGGCTAAGAGCTGTTCCACAGGCTGTGAACTCTGGCAAGCAAGGTGCTCTTGTTGCAAGCTTCAGCTCTCAGACGCTCTCCCTTTCCAAATCCACGTGGCTCCCTGCATGCTTTGCACTGACCAATGGACTCAGTGAGGTGCAACAAAGAGACGGAGGCCGACATTGCTGGCCCGCCCCTCGTCTGGTCTTGGGCTGATGCTGTCGGTTGAAATCAGCAGGCGGCAGAGAAGGCAATGACAGGCCCGGGTGTTTTCAGAGAACCATGCAAGTGGGAAGGCCTCCCAGGGAAATCATCTCTGCCCTGGCACTGTGGTGTCCTGAATCATTATTTCTCATGCATCTGCGATAGGAGTGTCTACCTCCATTTATGGAGCATCCACCACCTCATGCACAGCTGGCTGCCAGGGTGTGTAGAGAGATCTCTTCTGTCAAAGCAGCTGGTTAAAACAGAATATAAATCTTTACCTGCAAGGCAGAGCACAAAAAACTTGGGGCTTGATTCTCCTCGTTTACCCTATTCTGAGTCAGGCACAGCCCTTTCAAGATACTGGAGTTGTGCCAGCGTAACTAAGGTTAATACCACTTAAATCTCCTCTCCCTTAATGTTAAATAATGAAGTTTGAAACTACTCACATGCTTGCAGACAAGACCACAGCATTGCCTGGACTGCTGCCTTCCAACTCCAAGGCCCACGGTGGATGGCAAATGCCAAAATGTAACTCTTCCTTCAATTCCCACTCCTCCTGCTTAGCATAAATGACATCCTAGCTGCACACAGCTTCATTTCTACATGTCACTTTGAACAGACAGTCAAATACAGTCTGAACACTGGCCAGCACACTGATACATCCTAGCTCAAGAGTTTGTAACTCGCAGGAGTGGGAAACGACAAGAATACAGGGGCAAATTCTGACCTGTTTTATACAGGTGTAAGTCAAGTGTTAGCCTAAAAGTCAAGATCAGCAGGTTTTTAAACCCCAAACACCCAACCTGAAACACAAGCTGCTGTTACAACTACAGCGGTCACTGCTCCTCTAGATTACAGTCTGAGTTTCCCAAAACAGAAGCCAACTATTCCTTCTCTCCCTGTTTAGGATACTCTGATTAGTCCTAGATTCAGTAGCCACAAAAAGTTACAGCTACTTTTCAGGTTAAGCTTGGAAATCTCAAAAACCCAATACACCTTTGATTGCTACAGCTTCAGATTTGTTTTATTGTGGATTCAGAGCAGGTGAACTGTCCAGAGGATCAAACTCTACTGTTTATTAGAGCGTAGGCTACACACAGGATGCAGAAGAGGTTTGAAAATAAGTATGAAGGATCAGATAATGCAGCCAATTATGTCATCTAATCCATTCATAGTTTAGGCCACCACCTAAAACTGTATTTACTGGATTTGCCAAACACTTGTAGGCAGCCACACTTGCCTTGCACAGGCATGGATTTGTCCAGATTTCTAGCTAACTACTGCAGAAGCTAACAGGGCTTCAATGAATGTAGTTAGCACAATCACAGTTATCTGGAAGCCAGCTGTGTGCTTTTTGCCACAAACTGTTTAAAAGGATAGGACCCACTTTGCATGCAGTGTGGGGGTAAGGGTGGGAAAAGCAACTCCTTCCCACCATCCTTCCAGTCCCCAGTTCTCCGCTGAGGTTGCCACAAAGCCTGCAATGAAGGATAGTGGTCTTTACGTGTCCATTCACATTCAACAGATCTCATCACCTTCGCCTAGTTATGAAAACACCACTTCGAATAAACCTTCCCAAGTTTAACAGTCTGCTTCGGGTTTGTTTTTTTAAGTATAAACAGAAAACTGTGGAACTTCCCCCCAGTTTCCACTGCTGAAACACATTCACAGTATTTAGTCCTGGGAAGCAGATAGCAATTTTGCTACCCATAGAACACATCAGCTTTAGCAAATTAAAGCAACAACAACGGGCTGGCAGAAAACCACACAAAAAGTCACCTGCAAGTCAGACCTCAGGAATTCACTTGCTCCTATAATGCTTGAAATTATAGGATTCCAGGGCTCATTTAAGAATAGAAAATCTCCAGACAATTATTGCCTTTGAATAAGATAACATGTATAGAACTGTAGTGAATAATCACTGCCAGGCCTTCTCGCCACGTGCTTTGGCGCTTTCACTACATCAAAACAGTCAAACTAAAGACCAATTATGTTTGTGGACTTAGTCAAGACCTCTCAAACCAACAAGGCAAATTTCTATAGAGAACTGACCAGACTTTAAAACTCACTCACCTGAAAGGAACAGAAATCTTGGCAAGGCAAGGATTGCTACTTTCTGCAGAATAAGCTCTCTCTCTTTTTTTAAAGGTAAGAGCAAATAGCTAAACAAAGAAAATCCGTCTGAAAAAGTCAGCAAAGAACATTATTTCCGTCTCAGTGTTGACCTTCTCTGTGTCTGCTGAACTAGCTCTAGATTCTTGCCCTTATGATCACGAAAATATCCTAGCCCAATGCAGTCCCAAGTAACCACAGTACAGCAGTCTTCTTAAGTCTGCAGATGAAACTCTCCGCTCCGTGCCTCTGCTCAGAGCTTTCCCATTGTGCAGCTGAGTAAAAACTGATTCAAGACGTGACTTTTTTCACACAGTGGCCAGACAAGAAATGGACCCATATCAGCTCAGCTGCACTCTTGCTCCCTCTTGAAACAGCTCCAAGTCGGTAGCAACCAACCTTTTTGGCAGGTGTGCCACAAATTAAGCCCTGCACCCTCTGATCCCCTTCCACTGCCCTGTGCTCCCCTGCTGATCTGCTTTCTACTCCCGGTCCTATCTGCTCCAGGCACGCCATGCTGGTAGGATCTCAGCTTTGGGTTTTCAGTAGGATCCGTTGTGTTTGGTTTGGTTTTCAGTAGGATCCATTGTTTTAATTGTACCCCTCAGGTTACTAGATGTCATTGGTAAATCTTTCCAAGCCCAGGCCAGAGCCTCAGCAGCAATGAAGCTATTAAATAACACCAGGTAAGCATCTAGGCCAGGGCCGGGCAATTATTTTGGGCAGAGGGCCGCTTACTGAGTTTCGGCAAGCTATTGAGGGCCGCATGACAGGCAGCTCAGGGCAGATTAATATTAATTTTCTAAAATTGTTAGGAGCCCTGCAGGCTGGATAGAACGCATTTTGCCCACCCCTGATCTACACCTAGGCCTATTTGTTGCCTTTGGTTGCATAGGCTCATGCCCATTACATCTTGGCTTAGGAGTGAAAGAGTGAAAAAGGAAATATGAGTTATTTTACTTCATGTGCCGTATTTCGATACCTGGCACTGAAATGTCTGTGGTTTCGATGATGAGTTCAGGTCTTGCCTACATGCATCAATTGCACATGTTTAAATAAAGTAATGGTGTCAAACAGATTAAGTTAAACTGGTCCAAATGCTCGTTAAAGCTCTCTTAATGTGGTTTAAGAGGTTCTCGTTTCAGTTCAGCCCAAACCTGTGCCAAACAATTTAAACTCAACCGAAGTCTGTGTTTGCCTGTTTTAAGGCACACACTTAACCCCAGCGCTCCTTCCTGCCTGGAGCAGGGGGTCGGACCCGATGATCTACCAGGTCCCTTCCAACCCTAGAAACCTATGACATCTATGAAAGGGATGTACACTCCTTTGGATGGCAAGCTGAAGTCAGAAAAGAGTTGGGAGGATGAGCAAAGAGAGAAAACAAGGCAGACAATATAATATGGGACCAGAAACTGAAGTGACATCAGGGGTGGAAGGAAAGAGGCGGACGAGAGGAAACAGATACTGAAAAACAATGCAGGGAATGAGACTATTCTAGGAAAGGAAAGAGGAAGCAGGGTGAAGCCAGGAAGGTAAAGCGAGTGTGACAAAGCAAGGGAAGCTGTCTAAGCTTCAAAAAAAAAAAGCGAGTCTGTGATCCCACATGCACTCAGGCATGGATGCGCTGGGCTGGGAGCTGAATGCTGATGAGCCTGATGTTGCAAACAAACACAGGGCAAGCAACGCTGGAAGGGAAGGGTGGCCGCAGGGCAGCCCCCCGAGCCCCCCGCTGAGCTCCAGTGACAGCTCGCCTGCCTTCGCTGCAGCATCCAGACATCCGGATAAATGCACGCCACTCGGGGCACAGGGAAATCCCAAAGGAGAGCGACATAAAAGTACCCTCCTCCACATCTGCAAAACTGCAGCTTCTCTTTGGCAGCGCCCAAAAAGGACAGGGGACAAATGCCACCAAGGAGGGATAGGTGCCGTCCTCACACGCCTCCTCCTGGACTGCGGTGCTTGAGTCTGACTCTTGCTACTATTGCTGTTGTCCCCACTATTGTGCCCATCGCGGGCACGGCTCTTGCTCGGACTGTTACAGTGGCGGGGACTATTGTTACTGTTGCTAGTCCCGTCCCCCCCACCCCACACACACACACACA